ACCCAGCTTAAGTCAGAGTTAACGTAAAGGCTCTGTTTGAACTAGCCACAGTTCCCTGTAATGTGTATTTATCCAAATCCTTAAACAACCGACTCTTTTAGAAGCGATTCTATCTACCTCTGCAGCTTCTGAATTCTGTGAGGCCGCACACAGCAAATCAGCCCCGGTCCGACCACACGGCGCTTCAGACAACTAAAAAATAATCAAATACTGTCTTACCACACCGAAGCGTCAGGCCGAAACGGATCAATCAGGACCAAACAGCGCCCGCCGAGACTCCAGAACCGACACGAGCCCCCAGTTGTTAAGGAAGAAATTATTCTAAAATAGTTAACTTGGAAAAAGTTTGGCTCTCTCTCTCTTCCTTTTGGATCCCAGGCCCTCCCGGCGAGCTGCGTGTCGCCACAAAGAAAACCAGCAATGCAAAACTTAGAAGTAAGACAATGCACAAACTTACACCAGAAACTGCAGAACAACGGAGACATACATTCATTTACCTGACATAAATGGAGAGAAGGAAAGAAAGCAAAGACGTACAAAGACATCTTTGGAGAGTTGCAAGAGTAAATCTGATTTTTTACTTCTGTGTAGAAAGTTTTATAATGTAGGTGTGTTTTTCCCTTTAGTATAAGGCGTCCCTCTGCTTGACCAATTGGAAGCCACCCTGGACACTCAGAAAAACTTAGAACTTCCCCTAATTTACGGCCTGGCCTCCAGGAATTCTAAGGTCTTCTGGCTAAGGAAAACATAAGATAAGATCTCACAGAATAGCTGTGGAATGCCATAAATTCTCAGGAACAAACTTAAATTCAGTAATTTGGTTCAAGGAAAGGTTATCTTCACAAACTTGTTCAAAATTAAGAAATATGTTCAACATACCTTTTACAAATGCCATAAGATTAACTGTATTAAAAACTAAAAATAATCATTTTTCTTTAACAATAGATAGATAGAAAGATAGATAGATGGATAGATAAATGTTTCAGTATCTATAAAAACCCAAACACAAAGGATTTCAGAATTAGACATCCCCAGTTATTAATTTCATACACTCACCAGATCTTAATGCCCTGTTAAAAAACTTCACATCGCGTTCCCCCCTGATGTCATTTACGTTGAGTTGCATTAAATGCTAAACTCTCTGCAGGTTCTTGTCTTTGTCGTCCGCTCTATTCAGCTGGCTTTGGAAATACACGGCGAGAAGGTGGGGGCTGGGTGGTGAGGGTTACGGGGGC